TTTTCAGACTCTTGCATCTCCACCCCAGCCTCCTCTTCCTTTGATATTTACCCCTATGTATCTTGGGTGGAACTCCTTCCTTCGGTCATAGGCATACCCAACTCCCGATTCCCTCCTTCCTCCATCGTACTCTTCCGTGCCCTTTAACCCATCCCTACAATTTTTGACCCATCTCCCTCCATTGGAAGTGTCCACTCGCCCTCCTCTTGAAGTTCTAGGGGGCCGCTCATGTTAGTAGATTATGTCTTCCTCATTGTTTTCTCGTTCGATCTCATTCTCTTTTGACATAGCCATAAATTCTTTGATCAACCCTTAGTTAGGGTTTGCGACTGGAGCGACCGACACAACCTTAGATTGCATCTCCATGAGCTTTTTCATCATCTCCCGCATTTCCTTTATGCTCTCAAATCTATCCTCTATTCGATTTTCAATGGAAGAAAATCTGTCCTCTAGGTGGCAAAAATCTCTTCTATTCCCGATCTGATTTGCCCTGCCTCTTCTTTTAGCACGTATACTTTCTTTGCTGCCATCTCACCAAGATCTTGGCTCTGATACCATTTTGATACACGTCGAGGCTAAAATTAGCGAGCAGGCGATGACGAAACAAAAAAAAAAAAATAGGTGGAAAAATTAAACGAGGTTGCTCTTACGAAAAAAAACAAAGGAAAACAAGCAAGATACGAGGATGATCTACTATTTGAGGGGTAGATTGGCTCTTGTAATGTTTCGTTTCATCAACCGGGAGAAGAATCGAAACGTCAAAAAGAGATGGAAGAGGAAACGATGAATCGGGGAAGGTTAAATGAACCAAACAGACGGAGAGGAAGTGAGGGGTGGGGGGAGGGGAGTCGAAGAGGCAATTTCGTCCTATAAATCGCGTGTGTGACTGGAATGCGATTAGAGAGCAGGGAAGGGATAAGAAGTTGCATATCTTTTTACCTGAAGCAGCGATGCAGTAGGCCTTGTGCTCGAGGGAAGAAGAAGTTTGCAGCGTGCTTTGCTATGTCCAACCGTGACATTGATCGAGAGGCCAGAGGAGACGAGGAGCTGCTCGTGACTTTCAGCACGAAGGAAGAAGACGAGCTTTGAGCAGTTCTATCGAAGGAGGAGCTTTCCTGCTTGGGATCATGTCTTGGCCAAGCGTTGAAAAAGAAGAAGAGCTGGTTAGCAGAGGTGAGATATATTAAATTAAGTTAATATTAAAACTTATTAATAATAATAATGATAGTAATATAATAATATGAATAATAATAATGATAATAATAATATAATAATAATAATAGTAAGATATTTATTGAATACAAATTTTAACGCGATATCATAAATTAAATAGTTTATTAAAGTAACTAAATTTTTATCATGTTTAGGCGTTACATTTTAGAAGAATTGACGTCAAGAGCAAATAGATTGTTTATCAATAAGATGAGTACTTCTATTCTTAAATTATAAAATTATTTTGATATCTCTTGTAAATTAATTCTATGGGTTGTTAATTAAACTTGATTAATGCAATTGATTGTTCTATTATTAATTTTTTATCAGTCATTTCGATGTATATGCTTATAATCTCATAATATAAAATAATTAATGCATTATAGTTGAGTGATATGAAATCATGAATGATATGATTTGCATAAATTGTTTGCATGTGTATGACTGACTATGATAAAGTCATCCCATGATGATACTAGTGGGAGGATACTAATGTGCCCATGCATGCATATGAAAAAGTATATTGATATTGATATATCTTAATTGACATAATTTTTAGGCGGTGCTCCTATGACAGTTGTATAGATATGAAATCATATTGATATAGATTCTTTGAATAGTATGCTAAATGTTTATATTGATTTATAAAGAAGCTTAATCGGCATGCATATTATTTTTTTTTCTTTTGTTGTAGTTTAGGAGTATAAGTATTCACTGACTTGTTTAGCTCATTATTCTCTTAGTGATTAATATGATCGATAAAAAAGAAAATGCTTATAAAAGATATAGAGAACCAATAACGAGGTAATTTTAATTGTACAACTTTAAATTAATTTGTAGTGGCTCTTTCATCTGTTAAATTATAAATTAATATAAAAAATTTAATTAACACCGTCCAACCGTCTGTTCTCGTTTTGATAAATTGCAAGCCTCGGGCCAGATTGTGACTGCTCTTCCACAACCCAAGACGTCGCTAGAAAAATCACAAGAAGAAAAAAACATCAACCCAAACACATGCATAAAAAAGATAAACCTAGGTTACTCCGTCTAATAGAATCCTCCCACAACAATATAGAACTTTTCTTCCAACTTTCTTCCAAACTTCTATAATTTCTCTTCGTGCATGTGATTAAGGCCCTCGTGGACCCCTCTTGCTCCTTGCCGTCTTCAGCTATGGTAAATTGCCGCTCTCTGCCTTCTTTAGCCAGGATAGATTGTTGCTCAGCCTTTTCTTGTGACGTGGACCGGTCAGGCAAGCCGGTTGGAGAGCATTTGACCGGTTCAGGATAGACCGGTCTTGTTATGCCCCTAACTGTTACGGGCGTGGGCGCAACAAATTCATTACTACAGATATTACTACAGTTATTTGGAATTTCCAATTTATAGGCAAAGGTTCTTGCTTCCTTACATTCCATTTCTCAAAAGTTTATTCCGAAAGCCTTTCTTTAGCTTAAGAAATAACATGACTTTATCTTAAGGTAAGGTTTAAATTTCACATGTTCAAATTAGGCCCAAATTTTATTTTCATAAATATTGGCCAATTTTTTATGAATATCCTCATACATATCACGCATATAGTGTGCGAATAATTGTGCAAATTCATTAGGATTAGATTCTATAAGAAGAATCACAGGATCTACAAGTTTATCTAGGTTGGTATACCTACGACAATCTCAGGACTTGTATCAATAAACTTAGTTGTAGATGTATTGTATGTAAGCTAGTTTTATATAATATCAAATACCACCTATATTTATGTTCTTTTATCAAACTATGCAATAAATATTTCAAGCTACTATTTATTACTTCAATTTGCTCATTGATTTTTGTATGATAAATAATTAAAAATTAAACTTGTGTTCCTTTTTTCTTTTAATGAAATTTTCAATTAATAACATAAATTTTACATTTTGATCAAAAAATTATTTTTTGGCCAAGTTTTATAATTTTGTCATTTTATTAAAATAAATTTTAATAATATGGGAATAATCAATAATATTATGACATTGTATGAGATTTGCAAGTATTGGAGAGGTAGTTGAATATTTCATTTCAACAATTATATAGTATTTATATAATCCTATGAGAGCTTCTAATAGGAAAAAAAAAACTTTGGGAATAATAATAAGAATGGTCGATGGATTGATGAGTTGATAGAATAATAATTACAGACAAATTATAATAATGCGCTGATTATTGAGTAGGCAGTAGGGATCCTATGGATTAATGATGTGGCAACATAAAAGGAAGAAGAAAGGGTGTGCCAACTGACAAAATTATACGAAGGTTTCATGCTCCCTCGCAAACAAATGGATTCATATAATTCATTTTAAGTTTTTTTGATATTTTTTTAATGACTGACTGATAATTCTTTGGCGAGAATATCAAGAATATGCAAGTTTAGATTTGCGCCCTATCAAATTTCTTTATAAAATTTCTATCAATTTCAATATATTTTATGGTCATCTTGCAGATTATGTGCAATAATTGTCTACTCATTATGACACTGGAGACTCTTTAACCCCTTCCCATTTAAGCTTTAATTCTATCAAGATAAACTTTAGAGAACAATTCACTGATTCCCAGTGCTATAGATCTAAATTTGGCTTTTGCATTAAATCTTGCTTTCACATAATGTTCTGATGTTGACTTCTTGTAAAGCATCGAGACAGCATAACCTGCAAATGGATATGCTTCAAGTGTCAAATTCTACTCCTTTTTGAAGATAATTTTTTTATTTGGTTACATTCAAATATTGTACGATTTTATATGTTGTGCTATAATGTGATTTTTATAGGATTGTGCATGAATTGACTCACCACACTAACAATATAGGCAATGTTAGGTCTAGCATGTTATAAAAAGACAAGTACTCCCAATGATGGGAAGTTTCTTTCTACTGCGTTGTTTTTTAGAGCATCTTCAAGCTCGTGATTAAATTTCACGGGCTCTCAACTAATTTGCAGGTCAAAACAACCAATTTGATGCAATATGACTCAGGATTAGTTTTCCTCAATGCAACTAACATTATGTGTAGCATAAATGCATACTAGAAAATTTAAGATTTTTAAATCATAAACACGAAATGATTCATTCATCCAATTGCTTTTGTTTAATGCAAATAAGCAATACAAGATTTCAGTCCTGAGTTATAATGAAATGATCGAATGAAACTAAGAAATCTTGTGAGGAAATAGGAATTTTATTCAAAAAATGAAAACATCAAATGAAAACCATGCCTAGCATCGGCATAAAGGATTGATTTCCCCTGAAATTATTTTGTTGCACTTTACTGCGCTTGAAAGTAATACATTTAACTGTAATAAAAAAATCCAAACCATGAAATTTCATTCAATACAGTTTATGTTTACGTGTTGAGAACTATTAGTAACAGACTCTAGGATCAATTTAATTAAGCTTAAATTTATTCTCAATAAGATAACGACCAATTCAACTATGATTTCTCTCCTTATGCCTAGCCTCACAAGTAAGAACCATAAACAAAACTAGCATCTGCACAAACTTGAAAAAAATACCACAATTCCAATTCATGAAACAATGTGAAATAGAATGCTGCCAATTTGTTTTTATATTTTATATTTTTATTATAACTCTGGAACAGGTAATAAAGCCAAGTCCAACCGCCCAAAACTAAAAACCCAAATAGAAAAATCCAATTCAACGCTGAAACCCCACATCACCATCCCCCCACATGCACCCCATTGTATACCCATTCTTATAGTTGGAATTTCATTTTATCGTTGACTGATAAACAAGCTTATGTAAAGATCCAAGAGAGTGCTTGAACTTGGATCAGGGTATGGATTAGCAGGATTGGCAATTGCAGCAAGTACAGATGCTTTTGAAGTTGTAATTTCTGATGGAAATCCTCAAGTTTTTGATTGTATCCTTCCTTTAGAATATTATGGTAATTTGATTACTACCTTTCTTTATGTTTTGAGGATCTGCCTTTTTTTTATGCTTTGCATATTGTTGTTCCTTAAATTAAACTACATTGGCCTTGTTCTTCTTCCAAAAATTTTTGGTTGACGGATGATTTCATTATAGATTGTAGGGACATTTACGAACATAGCACATAATTCTTATGTATTTTTACATTTCTCACACCAAAACTTCCACATTTACATACATAGCATTTTGGTATTTGAAATCTATGCATGACAGGGTGTATTTTATTTTTAAAAAGTGGTAATAGTTCTTTTTTTTATGTGATATTAAGTATTTGAGTGCTATGTTTGTAAATTTTAAAGTTTGGATTTACAAACATAGCACTCAAATCTTTAATATATATTTTCAAAAAGGAAATCGATATTTGGCAGAGTCCCAAATATCAATTTCTCATGCGCAATCCGGCCCCATGATGAGAGTTCGCGCCATGTGCCTATAATTTGATCCCCCACGCACCACGGTAGGGATCGAACCCTTGCCAAAGGGGACTTACAATGACTTTGCCTACAAACTGGACAAGAAATGCGGCACACACACACACACACACACACACACACACACATATATTGTAAGACCTCTGGGGTCACGGGCTCGATCCCGCCTTCGATCCCGCCTATGTGCGGAATGAAATTATCAGGCATATGAGATTGGTAGGGAGGGTCATCTAATACTCTCAGGCCAATCTTAATATTTTATAATATTAAAAGATTGGCCTGAGAGTATTAGATGAGCCTCCCTACCAATCTCATATGCCTGATAATTTCATTCCGCACATAGGCGGGATCGAACCCGTGACCCCAGAGGTCTTACAATCTCTGTTAACCAAAGAATCACGGTAGGCGGCATAGGTGTAAGATGTATAAATACATAAGAATTGTATGCTATTTATGTAAATTCCCCTAGATTGCATTGCTGGAGCATTTTGCTTGTAAACCTTACTGGTGCTTTATTTCAATTAATCTTTGTTCAATTTCCTGTTTGCACACATTTTAAATTTTTTCATGGATTGAAAATGATCAACCCTAAAGGTGTTATTCTAGTCATATTAACTGTAGTTCCTTGGTTTTGGTTTGTAAATCTATTGTTCGTTCTGTTTGTTTAATCCTTTAACATTCAGATGTTCAGCGTAACATAAATATTAATGCTAAAACTTTTGGAGACACGAAAGTTAAATCAATGATATTGCATTGGAATGAAGAGCTCCACTCAGAAATGCTGCACACCTTTGACATCATCATTGCGAGCGATTGGTACTTTTTTCTTAACCTTGTTAAAGCATTCTGTCCTTATAGCATCACTTATACCTTTTCTAAGTTTGTGAGGAATTAATCAAAATCTAATGTGATAATTTTGATATGATAAACTTTGCATTAGTTTTAGACATGCACTATTAGTATTTGTGGAGATGGAATTTCATATGTTTTTTACACAAATTTGATTTCAAAGTCAATTTAAATCTATGAAAATTTTTAAGGTGCTGTTGACTAAATAAATTTATGATTTCATGTTTGGTGGCTACCAAACTTTTATCAAATTCACATCTTATTTTGCTTCACTCCTTCCTTCTCATGATGCTTTGTGAGAAGGAGATGTTCAAAGGGTGGCATGCAACTTTAAGGGACTGTTTGGTTGCAGGTAAAATTTAGATTGAATAGACTTTATTAAATCCTGTAATTCCGAATTTATGAAATCTTGAAAGGATTACATACTTAAAATTGTTTGGTATGTTAATAAGTAAATCTTAATAAAATTGGAAAAACTGTTTGACAACTGTCATAGGATTTATTAATTCTCTCTCTTCCCACGCGCTTTGGCTTTTCTAAATCCCTTCTTTCCACATGCTTTGGCTTGTCTAAATCCTGTAAATTTGGCTTCCTACGGGATTTGAAGAATCCCAAATTTAAGGCAAAACATAAGCAAAACGGGATTAAAGAACCCGTAGGATTTACACAATGTTTTTTTTGCCGTATGGCTACCAAACACATCCTAAGCATCTCTTTGTGGATGCTATCGAGGGCAATAAAGAACTCTCTAGATTCAACAGGTGAGCTAACTAACCCATCGCATGAAGTCAAGCATCAACTATAATGTGACTCAAAATAAATAAAATCTATTGTGTTTTTTTTTTATAGACTTAGGGTAAATAGGAGTGGACAACGAGAGGGGTCGGGAACAGTGGCAACATCAAAGGTGGAGGGTTGGAACTGTGAAGGAAGAAAAAAGAAGGGGAAGGCAATGGAGGTGGTTGGAAAGGTTGCAGAGGAGCTAGAGAAAGAAAAATACCCCCTTGGGAATAAGCTACACTCGGAGCACCAATCGATCTTTTAGAAGGAGATCACCACCTAGGATGAATTATAGTCGAAGCATGTTATAGCCCTAGAAGGGGAAACCCTAGGCGTCGACGGCTGTCCTGACAGAAAATTTGAAGAAAAACTGACTTAAAATACAAAGCAACATATTTTTAGATTTAGAATAAATAGGAGTGGATGCCACTTCAAATAAGTGGGAAATTCACATATAGGAAGTGTCGATCAACTCTCTTGGACCAGTCTAATCTGAAAAAATCGATCGGTACTGTAGTAAGAATCACAGACAGCTCCTCGCGGGACCGGATCCATGCAAGACTGTAGCAATGTTTGTAGCCTATAGGTTTTCATGAGCCAAATCCTAAGTGAGTAAATTTATAATATGCTTCTACCACTCCTCATGCTCGCTGGATGTGTTTGATAAACAAGTTTGTCAAGGGGGTTAACTCTGGAACAACATCTTTAACAGGCAGGACCACACTGACGCATAACCACTCAAGAGAGACATCTTCTTCATCTTGGGAAGGATCTGGATCCCACTATAAAATGTTCTTTCCCATAAAGATTCTGAGGTGATTTCCAACGCTGCGGTTCTTCCATCATGCTTGATTCTCTGTTGAGGGGTACATTGCTGAACTGATTTTAATGCCCAAATGACTCTATTGTCTCCCAGAAGTAACTCAAAATCTTCTTATCTATAACAAGCCGAACCTCCCTCAATAAGAAGTTGAGGTAGGCTATATATCTAAAAATTTTGAAATCTTCTTATCTGAAGTTACCATGTGCCTAGTATCAATTTCTCAAACTCATGACCTTTTGGACATCCAATGCCAATTCGCTGATGCTCCTCCAAATGCTTGCAAAAATATAGTTCGAGACACCACAATCTTATACTCTGCTTGAACACCAATTAACTCAAACTCGTTACTTTTTTGAACAATTATTGTCAACTTAGCTGGAGTCTCTCTCCTTGGTTCATTTGGAATCGCTTGTGTCTTTTCCTCATCTATTGGAAGTTGAGAATACTCTTTGAAATCTTCATCTTCTTCTAGATCACTGTTTATTTCTTTAACTGATTTATGATCTGTGAAAAAAATCATTCTTGTGATTGTGCAATCTGATTTATTATGCCCAAATATATGACACTTAAAAAACTTTCTGGCTCGGACGTATTTGTGAATGGAGATTAGTTTACACCCGTTCTCTACTTTGATCTAGTACCTTCTTAGGCAGGGTTGGCTTGGTTGTTCTCTTGACTGTACTTTTGTTGTAAGATTCTGTGATTGAACTCTACTTGTAAGATGTGGTGTTCATCCGATAATGTTTCTCAACTTTTGAAGTTAGGGTTTGCACCTCTTGTCCGTAATGAACTGGCAGGTACTGACGTTGCATCTCCGGTTTCATCTGGGAGCAAGTAGTGATTTTATCTTTTCTCTCACGTAAGCGTTGATGCTTCAAATTTTGTTACTAAAATAATGCACACTTCTTTAATTTGTTAGCAGCTAGTTTCACCATTCAAAAGTACCACAGTCTGAAGCCGAGCTGATGAACTTGTCGGGATTCAAGTGGCCGTCAAAATATGACAATTTGATCTTTAGTTTAAAATCTCGACTTCTCAAATATTTCAGGTCAATTTTTTCTAAGTAGAGGTTTCTAATCTCTAGAGTCTCTAATAGGCACCTAATCTCTCAACCTCTTATACCGTATCCCAATGTATTGTGTACTATGTTCTTTTCCAGTGGAATCATTCTTACAGGATGGACTCAGGTGTTCCTTCCTCTCTCTTCTTCGGATCTCGCGACCACACTTGTTGCTGACCTCTCATTGTGTCATTTTGTCAATTTCATTGAGCCTCTGTAGCACTTGGCGTAGTTGTCACTACATCTCTTCCATGGTGAACTTGTAATCAGGTTTTGACAATTGTCTCTTTGGCAGTATGATTCGATTTTTGGGTGTCGGTATGTAGAAGGTGTGTTGAATTGATGTAGGGTGCGAAAAAAAAAATTTGGGTGGAGATGGGGTTAGGCATGGACAAATGTTAGAAATCTTAAGATAGGATTAGGTTAGACTTAGCTCTAATACCAATTTATACTGGTGTTAACCCAAAATAAAATAGAAAAAGCGAATATTATTATTAAAAACAAGTATACGGTTACTAGCAAACACGCTTGGAAGGGAAATTACAACAATATACAAATGCACACTAGGGCTTGATCTGTGGGAGGCGGTGATCGATTAGGCGGTTTGGGAGTGTGGTGGTAGGAGGCTGAAATGGGTTGTGGGTTGCTGGGATAGCAAAAGGAGGGGCTGGAATTGCGTTGGCAGCGAAGTGGAAGGTCTGGAAGGGCAGTGACAACAAAGTGGAGGGCTGGGACAGCGAGGGGTAGCGAAGTGGAGGGCTGAGACAATGAAGGGCAGTGAAGAGGAGGGGCCGTGGACAGCAGGACATTAATTGGAGGGCTGTCTGGGGACTGCGGCGACAAGGGGGATGGCTGGAATGATTGAAAGTGGTGACTGGATGGCCGAGCAGCCGGGAAAAGACAGCAAGGCTGCTCTCCTGGGCAACTGTAACAAGTATGGAGGGTTGGGCAGCAGCCGAAAGAGCGAGGAGAGGGAGGGACAGTGGCGACGGTGAAGGTGAAGGGCTGGGACTGCGAGGGAAGCGAAGAGGGAGGGAAAGACATTGGCGGCGGCCGGAAATGTTTTGAAGGAGTTGGGGATGAATAAATACCACATCAGGAACGTTCTACAACCGGAGAATCACTCGTTCTTTTAGAGGGAGATCATTGCCTAGAATGAGTTAATGCCAGAGCACCTTCTCGTCTTCAGACATAACTCTAGATGGGGAAAACCTGGACGCCAGTAGTTGTCCTGACATAAAACATGAAAAACTGACCTAAAACACGAAAACAATATATTTATAGACTTAGGGTGAAGAGGAGTGTAAAAAACTGACCTATTTGAAGTGAACCTCACTCCAAATAGGAGGGAAATCCATGTAAAGAAAGTTTCAATCGGCCCTCCTGGAATGGCCCAGCGGCTCTGTAGCAGGGATTGCAGACGGCTCCTTAAGGGACCAGCTCCATCAGGTGCTGTAACTATGTTCACAGCTTGTGGGTCTGGGGCTGGGGCTGGGGCTGGGCTGGGCTGGGGGTCGCTGAAACCCCGAGGGAAGCTCCCGCATCAGTACGTCTTGTGTTTACAACTTATGAAGGAATGCTAGATTAAGAACAAAGAACTAACAAAATGCTCAGTTATGTTTTCTCATAGACTTGCTAAATTAAAAAAGTAAAAAAAGTCTCCTTTTTTTTGTTTTTTATGTTTTCAGCCACCTGGATGGTTCTTACTTACGGTATTAGTTAAATTTTGGTTTCGGCTTCTCGTTCTAGCATAAAGACTGATTTCTTAATATACTAGAGATTGATGTCCAACATGTTCTTCTAAAACGTGCCAATAATGGTCACTCTTTACGTTCTACACAAGTTGTATCCTAAGTTTCTCTAGGAGTTATATATTTTATTGTCCTTGTTAAAGGTAGACGCAGTGACCTTTATGAGCTTTTGTTTTCTCATTTAACTTCTGTAGTGAAAGTAGAATTTTCAACTCTGTATAACTTGTATTTTTTCTTGTTCTTATTAGCAGTTAATGTCAAAGAAATTTACGCCGGGCAGGTCTACTATGGAAGCTATACATTTATTGAAAAGTTTGATGAAGAAGTTTAGAGATAATAAGGAAGATCTACATATGATTTTTATTGATTTAGAAAAAGCTTATGATAAGGTTCCAATATATCCTTCGGAGAGTTCTTGAGAAGAAAGATGTTGGTATGACTTGTATTCAAGTCATTAAAGATATGTATACAAGAACTGTTACTTGTGTTCAAACACAAGGAGGATTAACCAAATATTATCCTATTTCTGTTGGTTTACATCAAGGATCGGCTTTAAGCCGATATTTTTTTGCTGGCCCATTTCCTTTTGCTTTAGTTATGGTTGGTCTTACTGGACACTTATAGGAGGGTGTACCTTGGTGTATGCTTTGGTGTATGCTTTTTGCTGCTTTTTGCTGATGATATCCTTCTCGTGGATAAGACGAGAAAAAAAGCTAAAAAAAAACTTGAATTATGGAGGTCTACCTATGGAGTCTAAAGGGCTCGTTTGAGTAGAGCTAAAACTGAATATATGGAATGTAATTTTAGTAGTAATAGCTCTAGTGACAAAAATGTAAGTTTGGGTGATCAAATTATTAGAAGGTGTGAACACTTTAGATATCTCGAGTCTATTGTTCAAAGTGATGGTGATATTGATGGAGATGTTATTTGTAGAATTCTAGTTGGTTGGTTGAAGTGGAGGAATGCGTCGGGCCTATTGTGTGATAGAAAAGTACCGCTTAGATTGAAAGGAAAATTTTATAAGATGGTGCTGAGACTTGCAATGCTCTATGACGCTGAATGTTGGTCTTTAAAAAAGAAGCATAAAACTAAGTTAAGTCGAGATGGTGTTGTCGAGATGAGAATGATTAGGTGGATGAGTGGCTTTACACTTAGAGACAAAATGCAAAATGAGTATATCTGTGCTAGGGTTGGTGTAGCTCCAGTGACGGACAAAATTAGAGAGAGTCGTCTTAGAAGGTTTGGTTACATTAAACGTCGATCATCTGATGATCCGATTAGAAGAATAGATGCTTTAGAGTGGACTTATGTTAAGAAAGGAAGACATAGACCTAGGATGACTTGGGCATATTGTATAAAAAATGATCTTAATTTATTAGAATTAAATGAAAATATGACACTAAATAAGACACAATGAAGAAAAAGGATTCGAAAAAACACAATGAAGAAAAAGGATTCATGTGGCCGACCCGACTTAGTGGGATAACGGTTTTGTTGTTATTGTTGAATTCGACAATAGATACGGTTGATAAAACTACCTCTAATATTCAAGCCATTAGACGTTATATTTTTATTCATTTTTATGACTCAATGGACTATCCATTTTTTTTCTTACCTGATGTACCATGCTTACGCAGGCTCTATATAGTGTCTTCCATGCTTATTATTGTCAACGCTGCAGATCTCAAACAACGCCAGCATTTCAAACAATTTACAAGACTTAAATTTTTATTTTTGGCATGAAAATTACTTTCCATAGTGCATAATAATTTAATTTCATTTTTCAGCACATTCTTCAAGGCATTCCATGAAGGCCTTGCCAAAACAGTGATATCATTGTTGAAAACTTCCGAGACATCTGAAGCCATTTTTCTCAGCCCAAAGAGAGGTGATTCATTGGACAAGTTTCTGGAGAAAATCAAACATGTAGGTCTAGAATATGACCTGGTTGAAGAGTATGATAGTAATGTTTGGAACCTTCATCAGAAATTTCAAAATAAAGATGACACCTCCTGGCCCAACTATGATGAAGATCACTGTTATCCCATCCTCGTAAGGATCACCTTGCAAAAACCAAAGACCACTTGAAAGCCCTGAATTGGTAATGCCTTCTCTTGTTTGTTTATTTAATTTGTTTCATTATATTTGTATCATTTTTTGAATCGAAACAAGATGATTTGTGAGCATCAGGAGATCTCACATGGTTGTGCTTGAAAATATTCGGTTTTTTTTACCCTTTTTGGAGCAAGTTTTTGATGGAATCTATGATTGTTAGTTCGTCTAAATCATCATTTTATAAATTAAACATTGATTTGTACCTAGAGCAAGCATTTAAGTTTTTGTGTACATACACTTGTCCAAATTCAATCTCTGCCTTCTGAACTTTAGAGTGAATTATGTGATAGTAATTCAAGAAAAAATTATTAAAATATAGAGCAAGCTTTATTTGCATCATCAGTAATCTTTAATTTCATTATATTAAGTTCTTAGTTTTACGATCTGTTTAGGATAGCTTTCATCTTGCTTTGGTTTTCAAACCGTCACCACAGTTCTAGTTGGGGAGCTGCTTTCTTGTTGCTTTTTAGAAATTTTAATGGTAGAAAATATGTTTTTTCAACTTAAGCTGTTAAAGTGTGGTGGCTGCCAAAAAATTGCGGTCTGACTTTTGAAAATAAAATAAAGTTGTAATAGCCATCATAGTATTTTTTGAAAAGCACTTTCTTTTGCAGCAGCTTCACAACTGTTTCTTCAAATATCTGTAGTTGTTCTAAACAAATCGTTAGACATGAATACATTTTTCTCAAGTGAATTTCATTGTACTACTGAAGCAAATCTTAATAACACTATAAGTTTGAGCAGAGCTTATTGATCGTGTCTAAATACATTAGAATTTGAGTTAGAGGCTAACTTAAGAATTTTCACTCGAGAAAGTCATATGCACAAATTGCGAGAAAAGGCATTTTTTTCACAAAAAAGTTATATGCTATTGGTCAACATTGGGTGCTTGAAGAATAATTTAAGAGTAAAGTGACCGTTTTAGTCTCGAAGTTTATACCATTGTTAAATTAATACTAGACTCTTTGAATTAAGATTGAAATAGTCCCCAAAGAGGATTAGTAGAGCTTCATTTTAAAGTAATCAAGTATTATTTTGATGGTTTTATAAACTTTGAGAAAAAAATGACTTCATGTAAATAGTTAGAGACTATTTTGTAACTCTACTTAAACATCTAAGAATATTTGAATTTTGTTTGATGTTCACGTATATAGTTTATGGGTGTAATTGAGTGATTGAGTTTACCTTGCTGAAAATTGATGCTAGATGCGAGGAATTTTGTTTTGCCTTGGTCTTGAGCAATTGAACTAAAGCCTTGATAACTACAGTTAGCCTACCCCATCGAGATCCTCTAAGTTCAAATGTTTTATCTTCTCATGTGGAGGAAGGGGCAAATGGGTTGGTCTCCACTTTCACCAATAGAAAATGGTGGGGTTCAATGCATAAATGACACCGTTCTAGGGTTTCTAGAAAGTTTTTTAAAGAACTCTAACTATAATTCAAGAATATAAGAAATTTTGGTCTCGTAAGGATTGACAACAACAATAAGTAAGAAATGTTATTTTCGGATTTAAATGAAATGAAACTTTGCTCATTTCTTACTTAGAAGGGAAACTACTGCAGATCAGACGCGATTCGATCGCATGATCGCAATACTTTTAACAATGGAATCACGAAGATCCTGTAACCATGAAATTCTTTACCCTCGCGACAGTCTCGTGTCCAGTGTCATTAACTTAAAAGTCTAGAGAAACGTGATTTGGTAAATATGAGAATCTTTCATCCAATTAGCAGTTGAGGGAAATTTTAAGAAGGCATTTTTCAATCAAATTTTTTTAATATGAAAGGGGTTTTTTTAAGAAAATGAGGTCCTTTATCTTTGAGGATTGTTTTGAACTTATGAACAACAATGAAGAACTTAGATGTCAATCTATATTGAGTGGAACACCAATGGATGTGGCAATGAGGGTATTTTTTTTATAATCTAGTTGTGAGTAGCGGTCAACCAAGGTTCTAAATGAAGGTGGGAGATGTAACAAGTTGGGAACATTTATAATGGTTGTATGAGTGAAATGGTGGTGGTGGTTTGTGGTGATAGTGATGTGGGGGCTGAGGGGACATGGACCATCCGATTTATGTTGAGAGAGGGCCAGTCATACCTCTCTAAGCCTAGGGTTATTGCCCAATTGGATTTGGGCCCACTCCTAATAGTATTATATTTATTTAAATATATGTTTAATGTTTAGGGTATAGCTTTGTTGTGATTTGCTTTTGGACATCCATTGGCGTGCCCTTTTCCCTTTCTAGGAATGTATCCTGGGTTTCCAAGTGGGGCTCTGGCTATATCTTGGTTTTCAAATGGTGTGTATACCCTTTTACCCTTCTCCCACTCTCTCGTGCATTGATTCCCTTCATCTCTACTGCTCTTGCTATCGCCACTTTGACGAAAACCTTCCTCCTTGCTATCGCCACTTAAAACAACCCCTTATAGAGCCATTTCCAGCTTGCTAGCCAATCCTTGCCACCATCCCGGAAGTCCAAACCCTAATGGTACCTAATGGCTCGAAAAATTGTTGTGAAACAAATCAACTGAATCACGAAAGTATAAGTGTGAAGTAATAATGTGGTTAAAGAGTACAGCGTATTGATCCAACAAGAAAACAATTATTTTGGAGGGTGAATCTCTAGTTTTTTACACTTCTTAACCTAGTTTAGTGTGATCACAAATAGGAGGTGATTTTCTAAAATCCTACTCAAAAGCGAAAACAAAAGATAACTTGTTTAAAAAAGATGGAAAAAATTAGAAGATAACTCTTACGATTCTTTGAGGCATGTGAGAATTGCTCCCCTATGATTTAGTTGATGTGGTGGTTTGTGGTTTTCCTAGACTTTTCCTTACGTGAGAAAGAATGCAAGACCAACACTTCATTGAAATCATCATTTCAAGTAAGACAAAAAAAGTTAGGACTTACAAAATACTTCATTTTCTCTTTCACAGAATATGTATGAAAATACAAAGGGAACAAGGTATGAAACACCTTTAGAAGCCCAACCTCAAGAGAGGAAGAAGATAACTCTCCAAAATACTCTCTTTGCTATTCAACCGTCTCTAGGTCACTCCTCTTTCAAAAGATGCCCAAATGAATGTTTTTATAACTTAATCTATGAATATGGTAAGAAAATTTCATGCCAAAACAAATTCCCACTCCGTTAGCATAGTCACGCATAAATGTGGTATGATCATGCTAGCCTTCTAAATCGGGTGGTGTGGTCATGCCCGATCCAGACACGGTCACTCCAGTCCTTTGCAAATATGACATGGTCACGTCAGTTTGTGGCATGGTCACGCCACTAGCGATGATGGTGTGGCATGGTCACTCCGTTTGAGGCTACTTTTTCGTTGATTTTTCTCGTTTCAAAATGCACATATTTAATACCTTTAACCTGCACAACAGTAAAAATCTTTCACAAGTGTGAATCTGTGATAAATGAGCAAAAATATTAGATAAAATATAGGGTAAAAATTAGGTTAAATCATATAAGATTAACTCATGTAAGTACCCCAAACTTACCTCATTACTTGGCATAAAGTAATCTCATTGCTTTGTTAAGGCGTCATGAGAATATGATAGGTACTTCAACTTATTTGTTGAAGTCAAGTAAAGTTGTTTAAGTGTCATTTCAGGGTCAATTATTTATAATATTTAATATCTTGATCTTTCCCTTAATTCCCTTTGTTCAACCCTTAGGAAATCTGAAAGATTATTAAATTGGTGATATTTAAGATATCTTCACGAACCGTAATGTTTTTAAAGTAATTTTAGTGGAACTAGACAACTTAATGCTACTTAACTTTTTTCTTGAAGATAACATTAGATGGTTTAATAAAGAATCATGAAAAATTCTTATCACTTATGTTCGACGGGACATCTTTCCAGTTTTCTTTCTTTCAATTTTTCATGCCAATCTTGAACTTCTTCTCATGGCTTTTCACTTTTTGGCTTCTTCATTTCTTTCTTTTTTTTTCTTTTTCTTTTATTTTTATTTTTATTTTTATTTTTATTTTTCTCCTGAGAATTACTATATCTAGTTAGACAATATTCTTTTTTGTTCTTTTAAATATCATGAAGGTTAGTTTTTCTTAAACAATAAATTTCAAGGAATGATCGTTTAATGTCACACCTTTATGTTACCCTTTCAGTTAAAAATTAAGACAAAATTAAATTAGCTCAACAAAAGAATTGAAAAGACTTAAATATTTTTGGTTTGCTATTTAATATTTTAAATACACATTTTTAATAATCTTGAAATTTCTTCAAGTTCAGTTAGGAGTTGTTAACTTCTGAAATCTCATTATTAAATCATTAAGGTTAATGTCTCTTAAATGACAATTATCTTTTTTTTAAAAGAACTTTTGATAAATAAGTTAAATGCCTGAATTCCAAGGAGTTGCCTTTATTAACATTTAATTATTTACTGATTTATGCAAACTACCTTCAAATTTGTAAAAAATGTATAAATTTTCTCCAAACTTGCTTTTTTTCGAACATGAGTGACATGCAACAACAGTAAACTGGATAAAAACATGTAAGTGCAGGAAAAAAAATAAATGTAGTAGTCAAATAAATCTTAACATTTTTGATATAAGAAATCAACAGGTATGGAACATGTGTAACGATATATCATCCAGAAAGAAGTAAGAATATGGCTCAAAACATGTACAATATACCATGTCCCAGGCAATTAGCAGGAACAACAACATGCAAAACAAAACTAAGACACACTTTAGTAGATATACAACAATGCAGTAGCCCCTCCAAGAAAACAAGTAATGTAAGATCAGTAGGGATAACAACATACATACACACGATACAAAGCACTTAACAACAGACACGACCACCCAAATTACACTTCACAAAGAAAAAAAGGGTGCAAGAACACAACAATGTTGCAGTCACCTAGTCATTGCCAGTCTCCTCCATATCATCGTCCTCCAGAACATAAAGCTTGAAGGGTCGCTGAACTGGAAATGCCACTAACAAGAGCGATCTCTTCAACTCCTGAATGCAATGATGCATGTACCCATACTGTCACTGGTGTTGGCTTACATGATGTTGAGTTTGCGTACACACATCGTGGATCTCTGAAGACACCTCCTCCAAATGCGTCAACACCTCGACATGGTCAGGCCATGATGCTCCGTGACACTGTAAGGAGCTCTCTCCCCTCTCACGGGATGAACTCCATGCAAAGCTAACAGAAGA